TTTTTTTTCTTTGCCTTTATTGCTGTGACACCTTTCTTCTTCTTCTTTGACGCCTTCAAAACGCTGCAAGCCGCGTTTCGAACGCGTCAATAGAGAGGAACATTGAATGTTCGAAAAATTCGCAGCGACGGAATCGTGCAAGTGTGCGCTAGCGCATTAAAATGTATGGGTAGCATTGTTGTAATTTTTGGGCTTGCGGGTTCGCAACGACAGAATCGCGCCAATGTGCGCTTCGCTTAACTCAGTACTTAAAATTTAATTGTGTAAAGCCTGTAACACGATTATAACATATGTATGTACGTTTGACTAGTAACCGGTTCATCAGTTGTCCGAGTACTAATCGTCCATATCCACCATCTCTAGAAATCGGGCCTCAAAAATATTAAATAAAAGACACAAAATAGACATTTCACAATTTAAAAAGGCTTACTATTAGCATTTTACACACTTATTCGACATAACAAAATCTATGAACTTATGGTTTTTGCATTATCAAGTTGCTCTTCATCAATCTTTTTCAGCTGCTCCACTTGACGCTGCGGACGCACAACAGTCAGGTATCTATATACGCGCATTCCTAGCAAGAATGTACCATAAAGTGTGACACCCATGCAGGTGTAGACTACGCCACGGTGCAATTTATCCAAAATATTATTCACACCAACACGTTTTTTCTGCATATTTTTATATAAATTATAAAATTACCACCCGGCAGGTATCCACTCTTTTTACACAATACAAGTGATCAGCTGTTTTGGCTGTCAAAGAGTAGGGTTGCCAGTTCTAACGGTTTCAATAAATAACAGCGATAAGCAGCGGATTATAAAATTCACACGCGTCATAGAGTGCTGGAGTAATTTTTGGAATAATTTATTTTCGGAACTACTTTTCAAAATCTTATTTTAGCGATATGGAGGGTATGTAGTGTGACTTGAAGCTTTTGTAAATATTTGATTGATATGTGTGTACTTAAAAACGATTTCCAGCTATTCCAGATCAAAAGCACTACAATCTCACGCACTACCAACAACGCTTTAACTGGGATTGTGGTATTTCTTGCATTATAATGATCCTATCGACAGCGCAACGTGAAACACTGCTACACGACTTTAACAAAATATGTGCGGAGGAAGGTTTCGGTTCCAGCACTTGGACAATCGATTTGTGTTACCTGCTGCAACGCTTCCAAGTTCGTCACGAATACTACACCAAAACGCTGGGTATCGATCCAAGCTACAGTGAACACAGTTATTACACAAACATTATTGATAAGGACGAAAAACGTGTGACCCGCAAGTTCAAGGACGCACGTCTACATGGGCTGCGTGTCGAGCAGCGTACCGTAGAAATGGAAGAACTACTACAGCATTTGGGGAGACGAGGTCCTGTGATATTATTGACCAATGCATCGTTGCTCACATGCGAAGTTTGTAAAAAGAATGTGCTTGAGAAATTCGGGTAAGATGTAAGTTACTGTAGTTAGGTAAGATTGTCAGAGGGAGTTCCTGGGAACTCGGTGAACAAATTACTGGTTGCATTTTCTGTTGCCAAATATTTGGTATTAATCGTATATTAATTTTGCATGGTTGTTATGAGATGCTTTTATTGTCATCATTTCACTTTCCACTATTTGAAGTTGTTTCCAACTCTCTTGTATCGTTGACAATACACGCACCCCCCAAAGTTATGCTGGACATTACGTTGTGCTTTGTGGGTATGATTTAAAATCTCAAATGGTTTACTATCACAATCCGGAAGTGCATGATGAACGTAAGTTTTTATTAAAATAGCAAATCACACATATGTATATAGTAATCAATTCGCTTTGTACATATGTATATGAATTTTAGATGTTTGTCGCTGCACGACAGACGCTATGGATTCGGCACGTAAAGCATATGGCACTGATGAGGATGTGATATTGATCTTCCGTAATTAGAGACAAATAAGGAAAACATTGAAATTTGTTTACGTTACCTATAGACCGTATATGTAGTTATTAAATGCTTTAGGAAGAACACCGCTTTTTGTTAAAACAGTTATTTACACTTATAATCGAAATTTCGAAGGTGAGCGAAGGTTAGATAGCTTTTGTTAACTTAACTAAAGAATATGTATACCAAAACAATTATTCATGAAACCTCATGCTCGAGTATTAGGGGGCCTTCTCAAACCTACCCCCGCCTGCAAATATACAGGTAATTCGCACTGCATTTTCAAGGCGAAGANAATTCATGAAACCTCATGCTCGAGTATTAGGGGGCCTTCTCAAACCTAACCCCGCCTGCAAATATACAGGTAATTCGCACTGCATTTTCAAGGCGAAGAAAGCATTGTGATAAAAATAAGTGCAAAAAGTGAGTATTAGCTCAAAACACAATTTGTAGGTATGTTTTAGGTACAAAAATATGAGGAGAGAGAGAGAGCTGTATTAATATATAATAGAGCACGCGGATAAAAAAAGAACTTATGTTGATTTTGTATTAAACAAAATCAAAACAGATTAAGAGTAAATAAAGACATGATGCCCAAATGCATTTGCTATCTTTGTAAAATGTAAGGGCATTCTGAGGAAGCAACGTCCAGTGGCACTAAGAAATGTTAAAGTTATACTATAGAAAGTGTACTACGGAGTGCACGAAAAATATGCGAAATGTATTCCCTGCTTTAATTCTTCAAATAAGATAAAACAGTGGATGTTTCGTTTTAATTTTATTTTATTATAAACAAACATTCTATTTATAGCTTTAATATATTGTACGTTATTTTATATACATACATACATACATATACATAGTTATGAGAAAAGTATGTAAATTGTTTATTGCCAGTTACTNAAACAAACATTCTATTTATAGCTTTAATATATTGTACGTTATTTTATATACATACATACATACATATACATAGTTATGAGAAAAGTATGTAAATTGTTTATTGCCAGTTACTTTAAAGACTGCGGAGCGGTATACTACTTCTTTACTTTATTCATCCTTTAATTTTTTAGTATTTACTGGTATTTATGCAGTCTGCACGCTGCACAGAATTATACCTACGCATTTGTACGAAATCTCATGCACTTATATTTTACTCCTTCCTACAGTATGCACTTATGCATACATACATATACAACTACTATATATCGATTGCTGAGTGGAAGATCGACCTATCTTGGCAGTCAGTTCGAAAACGCCTTATCTCAAAAAACTTTTCAAGAGCGCCCTATTTCAGAATTAGGTTGAAGGACGCATTATTTAAGAATTCGGTTCAAAAAGCCCTATCTCAGCACATTTTCAATATATTTTCAAGTGAGATAGGGTGTTTTAAAGTAAAATTCAGAGATAGGGTGTTTTTCAGTAAAATTTTGAAATAGGGCGTTCATAATAAATTTTTTGAGATAGGGTGTTTTCGAACTGACTGCATCTGGAACGCGGCTAATAATGCGTATTTATATTTGTTTGATTAAATTGCATTTTCATACTCTCCAAATAGAAAATTGTAAACGACGCGCATATAAAATTATTTATTGTCGCGATTAAGAAATTTTTATTGTAACATTTAGCTAATGTTAATGACTTAATTGCATTACAAATGTAAAAAAATGTTTGTATTTGTCGCATAAATCTATATAAGTACATATATTTATGTAATAACAGTGTACACGCTTTGCTTTTGGGCTAAATACGTAATAAATGATTTATGTATATTTTAATGTATATTGTGGTGTTTTATTAACAAATTTTTTATGTTCTATAAATAAATTAGCAACATTTGAGCCAACGGGGCTGAAAAGTTTAAATACAAAATCGAAATGCAAGAAATCGTCCAAAGTTATATTTTTGTTTGTAACAAAAATTCTTAGAAAAAAGTTAAGAAATTTTGATAAATTTGTTTGCATATTTTCCTATTTGCCATATTGTATATTATTTATTTGTTTATTGCTGTGTATATGTAAAATAAGACAGTTGCTATGTTTTATTTCGCACTTATGCCGCTTTTCCTCAGGCATTGAAATTAAAAAAATTCAACAAAAATTTCCGCCATTTTATAAATGACATGTGTAAACATTAGGGCTCGTAAAATTATCCGACTATTCGACTAATCGGTTAACCTATTATTCGATTCGTAACCGTTCGCATGCTTATTATTCGGTTAATGGTATTCGAATAGTCGCCCGCCTTCGATTATTCGAATAGTTGCNAAAATGAGAGGTAGGTATTGCTTTAGCCATTGTCTCTAAAATATTTCGCAATAACATTTCAATAATTAGCGCACATTCTTGCAAAAAAAGTTTGCCTTAATTTTGCACATGCCATCTTATATATGTACTACGAATGTAACAAGACTTTTCATATATGTATATGTATCTGTAAATGCAAAAAAAAACTCGAACTTAAAATATTCGATTAACCGAAAATGAACGGTTAGCCGAATAATCTAAAGTGAACGGTTATCCGAATAGTCGACAGCTTTCGACTACTCGAATATTGCTAACCGATTAACAGTAGTCGACTTCAGTCAGATTCGAATAATTCGGTTAATCGATTAACCGAATTGCCCGAGCTCTAGTAAACATACTTAGGGTCGTTTTCTCAAGTAGCTTTTAAGATTTATTTATATAAAAAATATGTTTGAAAATTTAAAAAGCTACTTGAGAAAATTCCCAAGTTTGTGATTAACCTTTGTGGCGTTTATTGCCTAATGGAAATTGGCCATCAGCTCTTATCTATTCGTTGGCATACAGTAGTTAAAAAAATACTGAACTATTTTTTTTTTTTTTTAGCTCGAACTACTTCTAAAAAATCTATTTTTCTTATCGTGTTCTTTCTTAGTTTATATTTAATGGTTTTTATGTGGCTATGTATAATTGTAAAATTGTTTTTTTTTTTTTTTACTACACTGCGTTACTATTTTCTCTAATCCAAAAATTTGTATAGTAACTGTAACTTAATATGCGGTGCTTCAACCAGCAGCAATGGCTTACCGAATTCATCTGTGTATTTGTCATAATATAGTTCGCATAGAACTTTAAAGCCGTTTGATTGCAAGATTTTTTGAGAAAATATACCCGTTGCATCGGCTTTCATGAGCTGGAACAAGGAGGAACGAAAGAAATTAATATTATAAAACATTTTATCTGTGACAAAATTTAAAATTATATTGATTGTTGATTTAAAACTGATATCATTTTTAGAAACGGATAAATTTTGTTTTATTTATTTTATTTTAGTATGTTACCAGAAAACATTTTTTATGGTTTCAAGTTGAATTGTAAACATTTACTTAAGATTACATAAAATTATGTAGAATCCCACTGCACATCCCGATCGCTTAAACTGTAAAAAAAAATTAACGAACCTTTTTTTACATTACAAATTTTTAAGAAATATTTTTTGGGGGTTCTAAGCCCTCCAGTGTTTCGATTTTAATTTTTATACAATAGAGGAGTTCTCGATTTGTAGCATTAAAGAGTTGCATTTCGTTGCATTCCCAACAACAAAACGCAAGCTAGATTGCTACGTAGCAGCTTGACACCTAATACGTTACAAATCGTGAGTTGCCCTAATATTTTCATACAAATCTTGAGAAGTCCGTATTAGCTAGCGAATTTCGAGACTTTTTTATGGCTGAAAGAACAACTACTGTTTATTTATTTTCTTACCTTTCTTCTTAGTTAGCGTTAGCCTTTCCACTCACCTTAAACTCAAAATCTCGTGCTATTTGCTCGCTCCGTCGCACCAGTTCTTTGGCAATTCCCTGTCCACGAAAGCGGCCATCCACAGAAAGCATACGCACCTCAAAAGCACGTCCTACATTGAATTGTCCAAAAATATTGGCACGCAAATTATGTTCGTTCAAGAGGCGGAATATTTTTTTAAAGCGCTCGTCATCACTCAGTTCAATACGCTCCTGAAATTGCATAATATCATGCGGACAGGCGACGCCATTAAGGAGGACACCGGCAATCTAAAGGAGAGCGTTACGTTTTAATTTTTTACTTTTTTAATACATACATATGTACGTGATATCTCTCAATATTTACTCACATCGTTATTCTCGCTCACAGCCATTAAACTCAAATTATCCTTAAGTGTCTCGTAGCAAAGTTGTTCCAACTCGCGATGACCCTCACCACGGCGACACAAACCAGCCGCCTTGTTAAGTGGCTCATCGGCAAAGAAATTATCACATAAATGTCGAATGACATCGTCGTAACGGTCTTCAGTAATCAATTTGTACTCCATAATGCCGCAACACGTAGAGCTACTCAACAAGGCAAGTGGGTATGTGCAATACTAAGCGCGTATGTGTATGTATGTATGGGTGGATTAACGACTGGATGTTGGCGGCTGGACAGTAGTGAGCACCCGACAAGACGCAGCGATACTTTGTGATGTGTCGGCGAATAGCAACTGCAATCGAAAGTGGATTAAATGTTTGAAATTGTGGTGTGTGTGTGTGTATTATTTGGCGGGGTGTGTTGGATAATTTTTGCAATTATTTGCGATATTAGAAATTTTATGGACGCTGGAGATTAAAGACGTATTTAATTATTTGCAATTAAATTGGTTTATATAAACAGCTTGTGGCAAACTTGAATTAATTAAACGCATTTTAGATAACAGCAGATACATATGTACATACACACGTACCG